TAGTCTCCCTCCGCCCAGCACGAACCGCAGAGAGTCTGACATTTCCCAGGTGAGTTGTCAGCAGTCTCGGCACTTCTCGAGGCGGCAGAGCAAGTGCTGGCTCCGGGAGGCAGCGTTGCAGAGTGGATTCAGAAACGCGATCCAGCTGGTGGAAGACGCCTAGATGGCAGAAGCGTGCACCCTGAGCTCTACACTCTACACCGTAGGAAGGCAGGACCAAGAACATCATCTGGAAGCACAGACTACGGGGAGCGGTGTACTTATCAATTATCAATATGGGTAAATTTTGCAGCAGGTGTCGGTAGCATGAGGCCTCCTGGCAGTCATCTCCTTCCACTCGCTGGAAGACGACCTCGTCCGCAAAAAGGCACCCCTTCATGGTGGTTCTGGCAGCCTGCCGACGGCGTAGAAATTGTTGCCTTCATGTCGCTGGCGCTTCTGTACATTGGCGACTGTGTTCCTAGTCTTTGCATCTTGGGACGCGCTCGGCATTGCGAGCCTTGTCAGCAGGTTGATACTGTGACAGTGACTATCCTGTGTGCAATGTTGTTTCGGCTTCGGAGGCTGACAGAATTCGACGTCCGCGGGAGAGACAGAAAGAGAGGAATATGAATATATATATATATATATATATATATACATATACATACACTTGTATTTAGATATACACATACATACATAGCTACATAGGGCTGTCTATCGGGGGCTCATCTTGCAGAACCGCTTACAGTGTAGGTGGGTAGTTCTCCAAATCAGGTCCTCAAGTCCTTAATAAAAGGCCATGGTTTCTTTGGATGCACGCCGACCCCGCACCGAGAAGCTCGCGTGGCATGTCCGAGTTGTGAGAGCGTAATAAGAGGGTCCCAACTACGGTTGATGATATAAATCCTGCGTTACCCATAATAAGGAATATACCATAATTCCCATACTCTAGGTTCCTTAAGGTACTGCAGGATTTATATCATCAACCTTATACCCTAAACCCTCATAGATCCCTTAAAGGTACCCTTATAGATCCCTTTAAAGGAGAGATCATCAACCGTAGCACTTCGAGCCACTCGGGAAGGTCCGTGGCGAGGCTCTTGGCCGCCGGGCGGCACGCCAGGGCCCCTGGCTGCCAGCAACCGGCCGGGAGGCTCACGGTTCCGAGGCTTAGGCTTACCCCAAGGGTCCAAGTCTAAGTACCCAATGATTATATAATATATACTCTCCAAAATCCTAAGCTACATAATTTCTATCCTAAAACTGAGTCTCTGATTCTGGGGTCCTTTGGACCCGTAGGCTTAATCAGGGTTTAAGGTTTATAGGATCTCCGGGGTTGCTTAGGGGCTTGAGCAATAAAAGTTGAGAGTTTAGTGTCCGAGTTTCAAACTTCAGAGTCCCCGTAAAAGCGGTTGCGGGTTCAGGATTTTGGTGGTCCAGTTTCCGTGTAGAACAGGCGCAAAGAGGCAAGGGGTAGGGGTTTGGTGGAATCTGCGGTTCAGGCTTGAAATCGGCCGTTTTGGTATAGGGTGTTACGACGACCTCGGTTCTTTGGCATTCGCCGATGCTTATGGATGTTCGTTTTCGAGGTTTTCTAAACCTTTAGTATCATAGTATTAGAAGAACATATTCTATTCTACCATACTCGACCATGTGTACTACATTTGCCGTATAGCATGCTCAGAACATCATAGTATACAACCCTGTAAGCCCTAAGGGGGAAAGATGCCCCACTTAAGCCAAGCAGGCCTTCAATTAACATAGTGGACATACAGAGCCGACCCACATTGCGTGCACAAAACAGTTAGATGCCTTACATTGCAGGCGCAATCCAATCCAGGCCGGAGGCAATAAAGTCCTTAGCTCCATTTTTCAGGTGGGAGCTTGGGTGTGGAGTGTTGATGCAGCTTTTGTAATGCACTCTGCATGACAGGGCTCTAACCCGGACTCTGAGTTGCAGATGAAAATGGCACAGAAGGTTGTTCAAAGTTTTTTTTTAACATCTTCTAGAGCTGTCTTGAAACCTCCGGCACGATCCAAGAACACAGCTGGCTCTGCCCAAGATCCCTGCCGTTCCGCTAGGGTCTTCGCCCTGGCAACGCCGAGCTGTCACGAAACCCAAGGCCCCGACCGCCAGGGATTTGTGACTGTCAATATTATTCCCGCGGGCTCCTTGCTGCAAGTACTGCAGAAAATGCAAAATATGAGAAGCCTCCTCGAAACATCTTGTATCTCGTTTTCCTCCGCTGGCGAAGGGTTCAGGGTTTCAGGCTATACGGCTATACCTTCATTCAATTTTCAACTCCGGTGCTGGGGCGACTGGGGCGATTTGAGAGTTTGCTTAGTGTGCCGTTGCTTTGGTCTCGCAGTGGTGCCCCCATGCTAAGGTGTACGATTTATTGCCGTTGCTTTGGTCTCGGAGTGACAAGTTCAAGTCGTCTCGCAGGCCAGGAGCACGAATTGCTCGTGGTTTGGCAATCGAGTTGTCCCATGGAGCTCCAGCAAGTCCGGTAAGAGTTTATATGTCCTGTATCTCCGCTTATCTCCGCATAGAAGATACATGAAGAAGCGAATATTGACAGCCACTACACCCAAGTTGAGAGGGCAATGCAAATCGTTCGCAGAAAACAGAGGACATGAGTGTTTATGTATAATATGTATACATCATATGTATATGTTTATGATATGAATATGTATATATATACATATATTCGTTCCATGTATATATATACATATATATATATATATATGTATTCAGGTAGCACATGCGTCATATAGCTTTACATAGATCTACGTGTGGACATATCCATGGCCACGAGTATAGGTATAAGTTGTGTAGGGAGAGATCCTTATAGTTGTTTCATATTAGTAATTAAGTACATACATAAATCCATACGTACGCACATCCATCCACCACACGTATGCATGCACGCGAACGTGTGTCTGCATGTCTGTGCAGTTTAGCAGGAGCCGCTCCGCCCGTTTGCGACTTGCGGTGCGCCGGGCTCCATCCGACGGAGGACCTCAGATACTCGCGATTGGGCGCTCGAACTGACATAGAGATCGGGATAATCAGTAGTGTTTAGTAGTAGTGTTCGCTTGTTGTCACATCATAGTAATACACTTTGAAACCGCATTCGACTCGTTCAGGCTCCTTTCTCAGATATATTTGAGTGTTGCGAAAAGAAGTCAGAATCATGTATACCCCTGATTAGCAAACCCACCGCCGAAGGATTTGGTTCAACGAGGTTCTATAGGCGGTCTGCATTAAGCATATAGTCTGGTAGACTCGCACACTAGAAGCAACCATAAAGACTGCAGCTGTGTGGCAACGCAGGGCAGTGAAACCCTTTCCCATATTTCGGAGCAATGGATCAGCCACGGCATCACTTGCGATTTTTTCTTTCACCGGTCTTTCACCCATTGGTCTCGGGACATCGCAAACGTACACCCGGTGCAGATGCCCGCAATAAACCCTGAGAAACATATGTGCCTTAAAACCACCTTGCAGAATGTGATGTGGATGTGAAGGCAGTGCCGCAAGACACGAATCCTGATCACTTAGCGATTGGCATCCTAATCACGATTGCCATAGCACAAGTCACTCACTAGCCTTGCAGGCCGCAGTGTGGCCCCGAGGGGGAGACCGCGTGAGCCCAGCAAGAAAAAGACGGATTGCCTCGATTGTGGTTGATGAAGTCAGCTTACTCGAGTAGTCGATGTCAGTGGGCAAGGTCAAACTGTTGGAGGAGCAAGACTGTCGTGTGTGGTAGCGCCCAAGTGTGCATTCGCTGTGATGCCCACCAGCCCCTGGAAACCTGTGTACCGGGCACTGAGGTCGACATTAGCCCGCCTTCAGGTATGAGGAATTAAAGAGTTGCAGAGGGATAGAGAAATGAACAGACACTGGAAATGAATCTCCGAATCCCAAGTTAAACGTTACTTGTCGAACCCTTATGAGCCATTTCATTACTACCAGATTATAGTTTCTCTGAACTGGTCGCACCATTGCCAAGAAAAAGTGCTTACTTCAGTCAAGACGTCAATTGCACGTGTCTCCAATTGTCATATCCATGTACAATATAGTTCTTAAGCTGATGCACAGTGAAGCATAATATGTGTTTGTGTTGGGTTGCGCAAATACACGAACGAGTGTGTACATGTGTGTACATGTATAATGTGTCTGTGTATGAACGCATACACGACAAAACACACACACACACACACACACACATGCGCATTGACTTACACTTATGCATCCATGCACACAACACGCCCACACACACCCACACACCACCCACCCACCCATCCACCCACCCACACACACACACACACACACACACACGCACCCATGCATGCATGTCAGTGTGTGTATATTATATACATATATATATATATATATATACAGATACGAATCTACACACTCATATACTTGGGACAGCTTCCGCCATACAAGCCGGAAGACAGACCAATGCATACGTTTGTGCTCTAGAAGTAGGTACACTTCCGCTTGCGATTTACAGCTGCACAGGCTGCCCCTATCTCATCCAAAGATACACATACCTACAACTCGAAGGGGGAGCTAAGCTTCTCATGAGAAGCTTACCCATGAAGGCTATACGCCGTAGCCGAAGTCGCCGTATTCCCTAAACCCTAACGGCGCAACCCTGCCGTGCGGGCTTGTCCTGGCGAACTAAGAGAACAAGTCGAATCCCCAGCCAATACTGCATCTTTGGGATCGCCCAGGTGTTTCGATTTCGGCTCGAAGAGTTACAAGATCATGGGGTCGGGAGCCGAGCTTGGGGAAGCTACACATGTTTCACTCCGAGCACGCCCGATAGACCTAACCCTGAAACCCTACCCTGTATCGTAGGTTCGTCCTAGCCAGGCGGGAGGCAAAACAAAAAGGGTTTAGGGTTTCAGGGTTTCCCCAACCGCCCTAACCCTAACCGCTCCTGCGTTGTGCGAGTTGCGACCGTTAAGCCCTGATGCCTTCAGCTCCAAACTCGAAAGCCTACCCCTCAACCCGACCTGCGTTGCAATGCCTGGCGTGGTTTGCTTCTGCTGTTGTCTGTATCCTCGAGCTGGGTATCAGATCATGCTTGTGCGCCCGGGTAAAGAACGCAAAAGAGCTCGGTTCCTGAATTCAAGGACTTGGGACGACTTCCGAGGCAACGACATGCTGGGAGCCCAGATGAGATGTGCGCTTGCACCACTTTTCATCATGCACACCCCGATGTTAGAAGTGCAGGGCCCTCAACGACCCGTTTCCACACGAGCAAAGCCACCTAGTAATTAGACAAGCTGCAGCCTTTGTCTGGCTTGTCCGAGAGTGCATAATGAAAAAGTAGAAGCCTGATTGTTGTCATACTATAGATTACTATAGATACAATATTTCGAAACACGAGAGAAGAATGTTCCATTCATGCCCTTTTGCAAAACCACTGTAGGCCCTAAACCCTTATGCCCCTAAGACCCCTTAACCTTATGTTCCCTAAACGCCTAAAACCCTTAAACAGGCCTCGCCTGGATTGTCCGAGTGTGAGCGCCGAAACCCTTAAACCCCTAAGACCCCTAAGCCCTATGTTCCCTAAACCCCTAAACCCTGTGTTCCGGGTATGGCTGAGGCAATGGGATGGCAGCCACTTCTTTTACATTGTCAGCCTCAGCCAGCAGGCGCCTGCCTTGGGACTGACGAGCAGTTCAAGTTATTGTCCAGAGCTACTTGGAGGTTCGTGGGTAGTCATAAGTATGTAACTATACTTACAGCCCATATTAGGGGACTTATAATTCCATTTACAACTACCCATGAACCTCCAAGTAGGAAACCTTAGACAGCTGGACATAGTGGTTCAGTGGCCACCGTTTAACAGACACTGTGTGCCGCCCTTTCATTCTCTGCTTTCAACAGCTATCGCATGTAAAGGTAGTTACAATATTTAGACAGATTTTGCCACAGTCTCGCAGCATTGCCGTGTGAGCCGCGACGTCACACCTCTTTACAACAACGAAGGCCCCTGTCCGACAAGCCATGTAACCGGTGCCTTGGGCGCATGTTTGGGCGCGGATTTTGTCTAGCGTTGCTGGCACTTCGTTCCACTGCAATTTGCCTCTATGATGGCATACCAGAGGAGGATCGCGCTCTGATCAAGCATGCAGATGGAGTTGAGACCGAAATCGTGCTTGTTCCGTACACCTGGGATTCCTCCTATTTTGTGACGAAAATCGCTGAGATTCTGATATCAGAAGCTTTGGGGTACAGTACCAAATTCTACAGCTGGTGGCCAAGTGAGGTGCTCGACTCGGCTTTGCTGCTGTCAGTGTGCTCCACTGCTGACTGCAATGAGACCAACCCGAGAAGTGTGGGACACATCGCCCTTGAGTCTTGGATTGGGGCATACGGAGTTCACTTTGAGGCTTTTCGGGATCGCCACCCGAGCATGGCTCCCGAAGACCTTGGAACTATAGGCTATTCTGGTGAAGAAGCACTGTATGTCTCCCGCACGATCTTGCAAGAAGCCTGGGATGAGTCGGGCTATGCTTTGGAATACTACAGGACATACAACACCTCGCACTACGATGCACCCAAGTTTTTCGACAGATACACCGACTTGCCAGCTGACGAAATAATGCGGTGCAACGAGACAGGCATTATGTTCACAGATACGGCCTACATGAATCCATACGCACAATGGACTGGTGACATTGAAGGGTTGATTGAGGTTCCGGGAGGCTATCATGCATACTGTGAGGGGGATGGCAGGTTTTGGTTTTCACCCGCTTGCCGACAGAATACGACCGCCTGCATTCCTATTCTCTCTCCGCACTGGGGTTGGATGGTGGATGCCTACATGGCATGGGCAACTGCATACGGCATACCCGCAGCCATTGGAATATCCTGGGATGCCGAGACGCACCTGAATCACTACTTGAACTTCCGCGTCCTGACATACGCGTTTCGGCCAAATGGAGGATTGGCGAACAACCAGCCGGATCCCGTCATATTTCCGCCTCACAGCGCAAATGAGTGGCTGGGCTTTGGAGTACCATACTTGAATACTTTTTCGGTACCTGTTCCTTAAAGGAAGCATTATGAAATACCCTAAACCCGAATCCTAAACCCTGAACCCTAGTCACTTCAAAGTCCAGGTGGGCACAGGGGAATAAGCGAACGGATTCGGTCGGCTCCTACATCGGCAAGTTGGTGAGTCGAAGCTTAAGATCAAAAGCTTTCAAGGTGTATGAGATGATGAGACGCATGCGGCTGGATATTCAGGACGTTGTCACAGTTAGGTAACATTTTACATTTTTATGGGTACTTAAACCCAATAAGGAATAAAAATGTACAAATTTAAATTCCTACCCCAACAATGAACTAGAGGAGATGCAGCAGACCCTTGAAGAAGTCCAGCGCACCCGGGCTGAGAATGCATACGGGTACCAGAACTACGGGTATGGGGCAACAGATGCCTTGCTCAATTCCTATGCATGCCAGTGGGCACGGGCGAACCGGCACAGATGGGAACAGTGGATTCCAAAGGAAACCACATGCTTTCCAGGTTTTGGACTTGTCGATGCCAACGGCATGTATGTTAGCTCGCGAGATTCGGCAGCAAGCTGCAGTGTCTGCACTCCTGGAACCTTTTCTGAAGACCTGGTGGATGAATCTGGGCAGACTTACCGGTGTGGGTCGTGTCCTCTGGGCAAGCACCAACAGTTATCCTCGGAAACCATTTGCTTACAATGCGAGCGGGGCAGGGTCGCTTCCCTGCCCGGGCAGTCTGCATGCGAGGCCTGTCCGCTGGGAAAGTACGCAAACAGCTCTGGCATGACGGAATGCTTCTCCTGTGGGACGGGACCTGCATGGACCACGAGTCGGCTCAGTGAGGATTATGGGGCTGCGAGGTGGGTTGAGGTGGAGAGCGCTGTCTCTCGGGACTACTGCCATTGCTTGTCAGGTTGGTTTCTCGACGCTGAGACATGTCGAGAATGCATGCAAGGTGCTGAGTGCGCAGGTTCCAATGAGATCATGCTTCTGCCGGGGTACTTCTCCAACAACGAGGACCGCGGCTCGGTGTTTAGATGTTTCAGCAACCCTTCCCAATGCCCCGGCGGTCTACCGGGAGCATGCAGCACGGGGCGCGACAACAGCAGCGTCGCATGCAGCGCCTGCCTACCCGGACTGCGACAGAACGGACCAGGGTGTGGACCATGTGGCCGGGAAGACTTTTTCATGTTGCTTTTCTTCGTGCTGCTGATTGCTGTTGGCACTGGACTTCTACATCGTTTCTACCTGAGAGCGGCTTACTATCGTAATTTGAGGCATGGTGACCACTTGTTGAATGCTAGCATGTTCGGCACTCAGCTAATTGTTTGCTTGCAACTGGTTGCCATCGTGCAGAAGCTCGCCATCGATTGGGAAGAGCCATTCGCCTCCGTTGTGGATGCTCTGAACTTCGTGTCGCTAGCAGAGCTGATGGAATCACTACACGCAATTTCCTGCGTCACACGCGTTGGCCCGACGGCGAACTTCCTTCTTCAGACATTGGCGGCTCCGCTTTCCTTCATGATTATGCCTTGCTTGATGCATCTTTTTCGGGCCGTTGTCAGGTCCAGAGCAGTTGCTTCCAGCCAGAAGGGGTACGTGGACAGGTATGTTCTTTGCGAAACCCTTGGTTCTATTTTCGTTCTTTTCTTCATCGCCCAGTGCAATGCTATTGCGGAGCCGTTCCAGTGTCAGAGCCATCCCAACGGAATGTGGTCAATGCGCGAAAGCATAGGCGGGGGGGGGGGGGGCGCTCTTCAAAAACGAAGGTCATCATATGAGAAATTATGAGAAGGATCATGGGCCTTAATGTAGCTCCTTAGTTCTGTTCATCATAGGAGAAGGATCATAGGCCTTTAATGTCGCTCCTTACTGTGAAACTCCGAGACTCTGAGGTGTTTTCTGCAACTTTGGCGACACCCACCTCGAGTTGTGCATAGCTGGTGCCATCTTGAGCGCCTGGTTTATTCTTAAGGGATCTGGGTTATTCTTCAGGGATTTAGTCAAAGTTACCCTGATGATAGGGATCTAGAGCAAATAACATGGTTTCCTTATTATGGTATCTTAAACCATAAATTAAATCCCGTAAGAAGAACCCAGGCACTGTGCCACTATGCTTTCTGTCGGCCTGTGCTTGGGCCGTTCTCGTTGAATTCCCCAGACGCCTGAGAATGGTGGACATGACCTTTATCCGAGCATGCTCGTTCTTGATCTTGAGATTTCGGCCTGGATGTGAGGCCTTCTCTATCTTCCTCTTGATTCGAAACGTGCTCCTGGCTTTAGCTCCGGTTTTGCCCTCCGCCAACGCAAGCCTTCTCCTGATCAGTGCGCTGCTTGGACTGAACTTCTACCTGGTCTCCTCCTTCAAGCCCTGGAGATCAGACTATGCCTGTTATGCAGACCTAGTTGCCAACACTGCTTTTCTTGCCATCATGTTCCAGGCTGCATTCTTCGTGACAGAGGTGAACAGAGCGGCCGTGCTGCTGTTGTGCACCGTTGCTCTCATTTTCATACTGGTTGGTCTGACACTGGGTTCTCGTTAGAAGATTTACCTGAAGTTACCGTAATAGGAGTCTATTCTAAATAATACTGTAAGGTTTCTTTACCATGATAAATCAAATCCCACAGCAAGAACCCAGGACAGCATGGACTCTGGTCGCTGCAGGCTCGCAGATTGCCACAAGGAAGATGAAGCGTAAGTTCGACTTTTTCATTTCGCACCAGAAGAATGCCTCTGGAAGCCTGGCGCGGCTGCTGAAAATCGAGCTCCAACTGCGTGGTCAGAAGGTTTTCTTGGATGCCGATGATCTGACTGACCTCTCACGCTTGTTCGCCATCGTGGCGAGCAATGTGTCGCAGCTCCTGTTTCTTTGCAGCCCGCAGGTTTTGACATCCCGGTGGTGCGTTGCAGAGCTCGTGACGGCTCGGATGCAGGGACTGGAGACGACCCTTGTGATGCTACCGAAGTTCTTTCTGCCTTCGGATGGGTTCATTCGTGCCTATGAGAGTACGGTCGTCGATATCCAGGACTTGGCCAGCTATGGCTTTGCGGTGGAAGACATTACAGAGACCTTGCGATGGTTGGGCTCATTGAGAGCGATGACCGTGAGCCAGGAACTCTTCGAGGGAAGTATCAGCTATATTGCAGATCAGCTTTCGAAAGCAAAGATGCCAAGCCGGAGCTCAGCTGAGGAGGTTGGGTCTGGATGTTTAATCCTGGCAGATCATGCCGACATAGAGGCCGTTGCAACTGCCCATGTGTTGCTGCACATGATCTCCCCTCATGTATTGCATATTTGCAACGTTCTTCCCAGGGTTCTAGCTTCCGGCGAGAAGCTGCGACAAGGCATGGCAGTCTTGGCGCAAGGTCAGTTCCTGCTCTTGCTGTGCACCAAGAACAGCCTCACATCTTCGTGCATCATCGAGTGGTTGTTGCAGGCTCACAGCGCATCGGCTTCTTGCCACATCCTTCCCATCCTTGCAGAAGAAGGATACCAGATACCGCAGTCGCCAGAAGCCTTCGACGACCTTTGCGCGCACCCAAATGTGCAAACAAATCGCAATGCAGCCGCCTACAATAGCATCCTCAAAGCCATCTTTATGCACATAGCAGTGCATTTCATGCCGAAGTTTTCAGGGGAGGCTTCTCTGGCACTGAAGGCCAAGGAGATCGCGTCGCGCATGCGACATAACGACATGCCAAGCCTGGGTGCTTTGAAGGATATGTCGGCATTTCCAAACTTGCAGCTCGATGATGTACACCTTCCATCTTCAGGCACATCGTGCGATGTCCAGCTGCAAGGAGCCACAACTTGCGTGGAAGAATGCGAGAAATCTTTTCAAGAAGAGATGACTTCATCAGCCTTTTGATAAACAGCGCAGTAGGACCAGTATATCTGATTTTCACGCTTCCCCACTTTCCACAACATCCGTTTGAAATGGATTGCAGAAAACGGGAGTTTAGCGATGTTTAGCGTGGCTGCCTTAGGCGCCGTAGCGTTTGGTCGTTACGTTTGGTTGAGTGGTCTCGCCGAGTAAAGCCCGGCGACATAGCTCATTCGAAGAACTTAGCAGTTCTCTCGGGTTTAGTGGTCACGTCGTACGGGCCACGGTTGCTTGATGCTTCGTGGCATCTGCAACAGTTGTTGCCTGAAGAACTGCTCTTTGCCGGACATCCTGGTGTGTGCATCTTCTGTCAAACAAGTCATCAGTGTCGAAGCCTCGTCCGGCACAGTCCGAGCAGTGGGACCTCAAAGAGTCTCACAGACATGCATGACAAGAATCGGAATAGTCAGAAACAAGATTCTCCGTGTGCGACTGCCACCTGCATGATCGAGATCCGCTTGGAGCACGAATTCTGTGCCAAAGCACATCATTGAGGACCACTGGGACTGAGAAGCAAAGTCAGTAACTTCGCTCTCTGAGGAGTGGGACAGCTTCCAGATCCTGGAATCAGGGAGCCTGGTGCCCAGTTAGCTTCGGGATGCGGAGGAAAATCAGGGGTGGTTCAGGATTCGGGTTCAGTTTCTGTGTTCGTTTATGTTTGTAAGCGATGGTCTTCGACATCCTTCTTGAAGTCTGAATGCTGTTGCACTGTGCAGTTCACACAGTAGCCACTAGCGATGCTAGGCAAACTGCTTGTCCAAGCTGTTCGGTTCGAAGAAGCACACGGGACATCATAGCTTTCAGATAGCAGTTCAAGAGCGACGTAGAGCACCGTAGAGTGAGTTTGCCATTAACGGATGAGGTGTTGTGCTGGAGTCGGTCCTGTATTTAAAGATACTCTGGCTATTCCCCAAACCCCTTGGCCTCAAAATGTCCAAGACGTTCCGAGCCTCACGAGACCTCAAGTTGGAGAACATTGTTAGCACAGACAGCTTCAACTCTTAGGCTCTCCAGCTGTTTAAGTAGCCTACACCACGGTGACAACCACCAGGCTGGGAGAAGACGTTGTACCCGAACTGCAAGGATGGCAGCCCATTTGAAAAGCCGAGCCCCCGGTAAGCTGGGGATTCCGCCTGTTGGAACAGGCAGTGTGGCACAGTGGGGTAGTCGTCAGGTAATGGTTGTTGCTGCGGCATCATCATGCTTTAGGAGCGTTGGCAGTAATTCGTAGTGGCAGTAGTGGTCGTCGAACTTGCGGTTGCCATCGTCGCTGTCGTTGTTGCAGCAGAAGTGGCTGCTGCTGTGACGGTGGCCCTGGTGGTGGCGGTGGTGCTGGTGGTGGCTGTGGCTTTCGCTGATGGTGATGCTGGTGCTGCTGCTGGCTCTGCTGCTGGTGGCGGTCCTGCCTGCTGCTGCCGCTGCTGCTGCTGCTGGGTTTGTGGCAATTGTGACTGCGGTTGTTGTTGAGTTGTTGTTTCCGCTGCTGCTGCTGCTGGTCAGTCGTTGTGGAGATTTGAGTCTCTGCACTCAGCATAATACACTATTTCGGTGGTTCTTTCTTATAACTACAGTAAAACTGGCCGCAAAACCCTAAGGCCCCTATATTAAGCGATACTCAGCACGTCCTGCCCTGGGTTCGTGGTTCCCCTGTCAGCTTCAGGCTGGAGTGAGGAGCTCGGCTTTAGTCTGCAAACAGACTCATCCTGCCTCACCCTCACCACATCGCAACTCTCTCGAAATCACAGAACTGTGCCGTGTGGGGGAGGGGCCCCAAAGTACCAACATAGGGACTACTTTAAGGACTAAGTATATGCTATTTCGGTAAATGGGTGGTTGTCAAAATTAGGCTCCCTTTTTGGGTCCTGAATATAACGCGGCACCTAATATTTAGGGTGCTGTAAAAAGGGACCCTAATTTTGACAACCGCCCACATGGATCTTTAGGGCTGATTTCGGAGCTCCCCATGGCACCAGGCATCAGCTGGTGGGCCCCGATGGGAAGGGCCATGGCCGTAACTGGACTCCGGGCCTTGGGCTTTCTATAGGGGGCTTCAATAATTTATCCCTACTATTTGGGGGTTCCTAATTATAACTATATAGTCTACCGGACAACAAAACCCTATTGAGGGTTCCTTATGGTATAATGGACCCCAAAATGTCAACCCTATTATAATTACTAAGGCCCCTGTATTAACGCATTGAACTTATTGGATGTCAGGGGTCCCCGAAGTGCCAAATTAATTAATGCCATCATTCAGGACCGTCGAAGGAGCGTTTGTCTGGTTGCAGAACGTAGTGACGAAGTGATAGACCAAATTGGCGAAAGCATCGTCTGCTAGTAACAAGGTGCGTGATCATGCGGATGGTGTCCGTGAAAAAGCAGGCGGTACTAACAACGAGGGCTTGCGAATTTATTGCTGGGAGGTGGTTCGCGTTTGAGTCACGCGTCTTTCCGTGTCTGTGTGTGTGCGTGCCAAACCCCGTGCTGAGGGAGTTTGTCAGCTTCGAGCAAAAATCAGGGGATGGAGCAGGCCTCTGTAGCCCCATCAAAGCTCTCGTTTACTCTACTCTACTTTTGCGATATCGTATATGGAAGGCTTTCCCCTAGGTTCTGAAGTCTTTTGCACGTTGCATGACCAGTTCGAGTGTGTAGTCAGAGGCTAAGCCAAGAACCCAATGGGTGGGTGGGTTTCAGTGCAAGCGCACGTTCGCTTGCGTTTGCCTTTTCTTTCCGTTTATGACAAAGCCTATACCAGCAGAAAGCAGCACCATAGAGTTGCTCAGAGCTTCATGGTTGTGCTCAAGAGGCAAGGACAATGAAATCATGTCTTTCCTGATGATGAAGCAGGAAAGGCTTCTGTGGTGAGAAGGATAGTCGCACGAAGTGCCAATTCAAGATTGATAAGATTGAGGTGGTTTGGGAGTTGAGCTCTCGATCTCGAGAAGTTAGGGCTGAGGGTTTACAATTCAGTTCAGTGTTCGAGGGCAAATGTACGGACATAGGATATGCGCAGGAGTTGAGGGCATTTCAGGTCATCTTTTGCCTGATCAGTAAGGACATGTATGACCTCCACACCGCAATCCCAGTACATGAATCCTCAGCCCCCAACCTAAGCTCGACTAAGCCCGGCATGTAGCAGGACCATTGGCCGCCATGCCGAAGATGCTGGGAAGGCGTGCAGCAGATGGGTCGCAATAATTCCTTACCCAGAATCAGAATGCAGGTGGAAGTCTTGCACATGCTTGCTCTCTGCCACGCATGTGAAATGAGGACAAAAACGCCCATAGTATAGTATACTATACTATACTATATGCTTGAACGGTTGGGATCAAGTGATTTAGTCGTTTTCAGGAGCCGTACCCACCGCACTGGTCGCTCCCTGCTTCGAAGAACGTTTAGTTGTTGGCCCCCGTGTAGCAATACTGCATTGCTATTAGTAGTGTTATTGCTACTGTTGTAGTTATGATTGTTGTTAGTGCTACTATACTCAGTAAGGATGTATGCAATTATTACAAACAGTCGCGGCATTATTTGTGTCACTATCACAGATCCTCTTTGGGGCCCCACCAGCGTACATCGCGAAACGAAGCGATCAAACCACCCACGATTTCTCGAAAAGTTTTCACAAGCCCCTTTCTTTCAACGGTCCGGCGACTGTCTCTGCTCTCTTCCAACCCCTCATCTGCCGCAGAGGCTTTGACTAAACCATAAAGCCTCAACCCTGACAGTACCCTACCCCTAGTATAGGGGCCGAATGAAGCACCCGCTGTACGATTTTGGGGGGTTCCTTATGCATAGTGGGCCCCTAATTTCGGCTAACTAATTATAAAAAACACCCGAGGAGGTAGGCACTGTGTCCGCCTGACTTCAGGCCGGCAGTCTATACAAGGTGGGAAGCCAGATGTGTTTAAACTGATAAGGAACCTTGATTTGGGATTTAGTGCTTGGGTCTGGGCTAGGAAAGTTTGGGTTCAGGGAGGTTTGGAGCCTTAAACGCTAAACCCGAATCCTAAAGGTTCTGCAACGACTTCTTGTTTCTGCTTGCTGTTTGCAGGTGACAGGGTCCTGTGGCAGATTCAGGATGTAAAGCCTTGGGCGCAGCCGCAGCTGCCGAGCTTTGAGCCCTGCAATGCCAGCACCGAGTCATGGCTACAGGGACATGTAAGCACGAATTGCCATGTTAAGCAAAACTGGGACCAGAAGCAAGGATCTGACCGCATTGCACCGTTCATGTATCGCTTTTATAAGTGTACATCTTCATGGAACCTGTCAATATGCGAGGGTTACATGCGAAGTCAATAGCTGAGCAAGCCGACCACGAAAACTTTCCATGGCGATCTCCGTGCCGGTTACCGTAGCAGTGGGTGGGAGATGGCAAGAGATTGAGGATGCCAACCATCGCCTCTCCCGGGACCTTGCCGTGGCAGAAGAAGATGCCGTGAGCCAAAAGTCGGCCCTGGCCAAGGCAGAGGCTGCCTTACAGATGGCTGCCTCAAGAAACAGCAGTCTTCAGGAGGCTCTTGAAGCAAAAGCCAGGGAAGCAGAGGCTTTGCGTGAGTCCCTGGTCCTATCTGCCCAGGCCTTGGCTGAGACCAGTGCTGCAGCCTCAATAGCAAATGATGAGGTCTCTCAGCTAACATCCTCCTGCTCGTCTTTCTCTTTTGAGTGTCAGCACCTCCGCCAGTCACTGGAGGAGTCTCTGGCGGAGGCATCAAGAACCATGACCCAGCTTGCAGCAAGGCAGCAAGACTTGGCCCTGGAGTCCAGCCAAAAGGCCGAGATATAGCACATTTCGTTTTGGTAGAGAGAGAGAGAGATATATATATATATATATATCTCATTTGATATAGCATAGCATGTATTTTTTTGTAAACCATGCGGCATTTATTCTTTGTATCATAGTATAGTACATTGCCCAAAAGAAGGCCGAGATGGGGGCCAAGAACCTCCACCTCGAGTCAGAGCTGGCGATGCTGCAGTCCAGGTACACCAACCAAGGCACTCATGTGCAGCTGCTCCTCCGAGAGAAGGACTACGTTTAGGGTTTAGCATTTAGGGTGTAGGGGCTCCTGCGAGAGAAGGACAATCTACCCACCTGTATAAGTTATATCGCTACTGCTTCATACTATTATCATATCACTTATTTCAGACGAGATTATGCTATCTCCAGGTCATAAGTACTATATTATACTATACTTTAGTAGGCCAGGTTCGGCCAAATGTTAGCAAATGCTATTGAGATAGCTTGCAAGTCCCGCCTGGAACTGCTCTGATAGTGGGGCTAGGGCACATCGCAGTTTGCCTCGTGACCCTGCCCCAAGAGGAGCGACTATGGACGCAGCTCAGCCGCTGTCGAAACGCTGCTCCGCGTTCCCCTGCGCAGCATGCAGCTTGGGCTTGATCCTAAACCAGTAGTTGTAGTAGAATGCGCCCCAAAATCCTACGAATTCTAATTATTAAGACCCGTATAGTAAAGCCGCCGAGACGCCCTCTGTTCAGTCTGTTTGAAGCCATCTCCTGGAAGCTCAAACCGCCTGAAACTGACTGCAAGGATGAGTCTCATCCGGCTGTGCCAAGTTGTGAGAGCGTAAACCCCAAACCGTCTAAACCGTAGAGGGAGAGAGGGAGAGAGGGAGAGTAGACTAAATCAGAGTGTCACAGAGGATGGGACGAACTGAAATACGCATGCTGATACTTATTCCCTGCCGTTTCAGTTGTCAGCCCATCCAAAACTCACATTCCCCTCCAAATCCCAACACGGTCGGGCCAAGTGCCACTTTACTCGCCCTCTAGGCCTGGGAGAAGAAGATAGAGCAGCCGCGGGTTGTAATCCTTAAGCCTTCGAAGCTCAATGCAGTCCCTTTGGCCTACAGGAACGGTCGCTTCTGGAGTAAAAGTAACCCCGACAGTAATCCTGCAAACCTTAAGTGGCCATTCTTGTATCCGCTATCGTAACCCTTCAAGTGACCCTCACAATGACCCTGAAACTAATCCTTATTGCCCTAAACATGACACCGTTTATAGACACCGCCTTTCAGGTTGAAGTGCCAACCCGGCCTCGTCCGGCAAACGAGGGCCGCAAGCGAAGCAGCTCTCTTACTGTCAAGAAGCAGGTCGAAGGCAACGTGAGGTTTTGGGGTTTTGGATGGTTTAGGGAATGATAATAATAATAATAATAATAGGGGCCTGAGCAATCAGAACTGGGTTTGGGGGTATTTAAAACCTGGCTCCAGCCAAGCTGCTCTCCACAGGCAAGCTTCAAAGCCTAGAACATTACACTGTTACCATCATGGCGGCTGTATGGGCAGATATTATTACAAATTCTGCCGATCCTATGTTGCAGGTTTAGGATTGAGAGGAGTTTAGTGCTCAGGGGATTTTTAGGAGACTTGAGTCCAGTAGCACGAAAACGGTGATTTTTCGGGGTCTTGGGTTTGCAGGTTTGTAGGGTGTAGGAGAGGCTTTGTGGCTATTGTGGATGCTGAGCTTACTCTCTTGCGTGCTACTTGCAGCTCCAGGATTTCGCAGGGACTTGAACGTGACAGGCGATGGCCAAGACCCTAACCCTAAACCCCTAAACCCCTAAAGCCAGACCTCGCGAGCGGGCATCGTTTCCATGCAATGCGAGAGGGTAAAAAAACCCTAAACCCCTTGGCACAAGTGAGAATCCAACGTTTCCAATTTCACACCGACTCCGCACCTAAGAACCTCGCCTGGCTGTGTCCGAGTTGTGAGAGCGTAAACCCTAAACCCTAATAGTCCATGGAAACTTCGTGAGATTCCGTTGGCAGGCGCGCCGGCCGTCCACGATGCACGGGCACTGGCAGACTTGGAGCGAAAGTTGTGGCATGCGCAGAAGGCCAGAGATACCCTCGATCTATATCTATATCTATATATATATATATGTGACACATATGTATATTATATATATATATATATCTCTCTCTCTCTCTCTCTCTCTCTCTCTGTCTCTCTCTAGGTGTTCGATATGGTTTAGCAGCTGTTTGCTTTTGAATATGTTGTCAGTGCTGGTTTCGCTAGCACAGTAGTCGACGCGCTGCAAGTGCATCCAACGGCAGAGGGTATCTCCAGGAAGTCACAAGCCGCACGTCTCCGCAAAACTGTGTCGGCCCGAAGTTTGCCAGTTTAGTTAGTAGTTCCAGTGACTAGCAGACACAGAGAGTCCCTCGGTTCTTCCCTTCTGAATGGCTCCGCTGGGCACGAATGACGGCGCAGCCCCGCCAGCTCCTGGGTTCTTGTTAAGGGGTTTTATTTAAGCTACCAGAATAAGGAAACCATGTTTCATATTATGGCAACTTAAATTACATTCCTTGATCCCTAAACCCATGGTAGCTTAAACCTTGATCCCTAAACTCTTACAGATCCCTATTACGGGCACTCAAACTAAATCCCTCATACAAGAACCCAGGCTCAGGGGCCTGTTATCTTCGCCTGCCCAGAGGAAGACCCAGAGCGCCTCCTGCGCGAACGTCGCCAGGCCGCACTCGATACTTTCTAGAATACAAGTAACAGCAATATATATATATATATATATACACATATATATATATATATACATATACATATATACACTTTACAGTGATGTAGTAGTAATAGGGAATGATACAGGGAGCCTAAAGGAATACTGGTGGTGCTAAGAGTACTTTTCGCCATTGTTGGCGAGACATTCAAGCAGCCCAGGTCTGTGCAAAAATTCTCACACAGAGCTGTGGGAGGGTGCAGAGACACAGGACGGGTACAGCGAGGCATCCGCAGAGTGGACACCCTTGGGGAAAGGCTACGCAGAGGCTATGGAACATGTTCGGTCTTTAGAAGCTATGGAGCATATCCGCTCTTTGCAGAGCCGCCTGGTGTTGTTGTGAGGCATGTTTCGTCGTGCTTTCTTGTTTTCATGCATGCCTAGCAGACAGGAACAGCCAAGGCAACTGCAGCTTTTTCTCCGAATCACTGGACACCACACCGTTTGAAAGCCACCGACTCACTTCATTGGAGGGTGCTCTACGTGATCCCGATGCCACTTCCCAGGTGGATCCGGCACAACTGCGGCGCAGTTTATTCCCAGCCGTGCTCGAGCTCACGGAGCAAATTCACACTCCATGCTTGGAGGCTACGCTCAGCGGACACGGCCCAGATGAGATCCGCTCCCTGTACCGAAGCTTCTACACCGAGCCGCTTGACCTTGAGACCGGCGACCCGGGGCCAGAAGGGGGCTGCCCTGAAGTCGCGGCTGCTGAGTGGCCACCTGCGAAGTCACACAAGGCCTTGCGAACCATCGCAGAGGATGCGACGTCCACGCCACCGGGCACGCAGATGTTTCATCAACATTCAGATGTCCAGGCAGGACGTGGAGACGACGACGACTTGTCGTTAGATCGAAGTCTCTCAGCTGCTGTGGCCGTGTTGCGTCACGGAGAGCGGCAGGACTCGATTTGGGGCTCGGCTTGGCACAACACGGAAGATTCGCATCGCCACCCCGGGGATTGTCCCATCAGTGACCAAGCAATTCTCGAAGCGCGGAATGTGGCCCGACTACTGGGAGACTTCGGAGACTTCGGGATCATTGTGTCTTCGCCATACCTGCGCTGTGTGCAGACAGCCATTGCCATCGCAGTCCCTCAGCTGAAGTTGAGCAATATATATCGTCCGCTGCCGCCCGCCACTGCCGCTGGAAGCGCTGCTATGATACACTAGAATCAATCACGTAAGAGGTTGCCAGCACACCGGCTGCACTGCGGTTCCGTCATCTCAGGCCCCAAAGTTCCCAAAGCCTATAGAGTACCCTCTCAGGACGAGCTGGATCTTGTGGTCCTTCTTGACCACGAGCTTGGCGAGGTCTTCGGCCCCTCCGTCTTCGGAGAGGCGGACCCG